CTCCTGGATGAGCTCCACGGTGCGAAAATACACCTGCGGGAGATACTCTCATGAGCGCTTTCAATTTACTGCAACAGCTACTTTAAAAATCAGTGAAAACTTCAACCGTCCCATTCAATGTGGGGCAAGTGGCATGAAAATGAAAAAGGGTGAAAAGTATTTTATTTTTCAACAAAGAAAAATAGTTTTTATTCCTTTTCTAAGTGGACACATCCAAAAAGTGCTTTTCCTGAGAAAAACAGTCTACTTCATTATTATTTCAACACCCATTCGTGAGTGAGACTGTGGTGCAACAGAGGAAAAGGAAGAGATCATCAGGGAGAGAATGAGATAAGAAGGAAACAGGTGTTTGCACAAGTGAAAACTTACATTAATAAAGTATTATTGTTATAAAAAACATGAAAAAGCTCTTAATGCTTAATTTTCAATTCAATCTAGAGTATTTTAGAGCTTTTTAGGTAAGCTGTATTGTGGTAGTAGCTTTTTATTTAGTCAATAAGACAGTCTCCTTTTCGAACCATTCATTTGTAGACATAGATTTAGCCGTTTGGCGACAATGACAAGAGATATGTTTGGAGGTGTAAAGGTGAGGCTTTAAAACCTAAGACCACTGCACCAGCTGTTAGGCATGGTGGTGGTAGCATCATGCTCTGGGGCCGTCGTAGAAGCTTGTTTATGGAAATCAAAAGCTTCTAGTCGAGGCACAACTTGCTAAGGGACATTTAACCAAATGTTATTGAGAGTGTACGTGTATATCTGATGCAGTATACTATATTTTATATTGAAACCATAGACTGTATATAAAAGATGTATCCACTGTGACATCAGCTACTTGTTTGTGAAGTCTGCATTAAATTCTGCACTTTTGTTGTTAAACTGGACATCACACGCGAGCTACTGTGAAACTCAGGGACATTGTTCACTCAGTAGACAAAGAACAATAGATAGAGAAGAGATAGTTAAATCTGGTGACCCAATTAACTGCACTGGGATTAAAATCCATAAATATTTATGACTTTATTCTTCAATAAAGTCATAAACCATGTGAGAAGTAGGGTCATTTCTACAGAACCAAACTTTGTCTTGTAACCGTAAGATGC